CCCCACCCGACCCCGTCCCCCCACCAAATCAAACGATCTCCGCACAGGGGGAAAGGAAAGGAGAAAACCTACCGCCCCGACCGCCGACCGACATGGCCGCCGCCGCCGCCGGTTCCTCCGCCGCGTCCCTCCCGGCTCCAATCCCCCTCAACGACAAGGTGCGTGCCCGCTCGCTACCTCGCTAGGTCTCCCCGATCGAATCTGCTCTCCGTCGGTGGGTGGGTGCTCGGCGATCTGATCTGATCTGGTTTGGCTTGTTTGTTCGTGCCAGGCGGCGGCGGCCGTGGGCGGCGGGGTCGGCGGCGACCGGGCGGCGGGGGGCTGCGGGGTGTGCGCCATCTGCCTCGACAGGATCCCGCTCCAGGAGACGGCGCTCGTCAAGGGCTGCGACCACGCCTACTGGTTCGCACCCCTCTCCCTCCGATCCCCTTCCCCTCACCCGATTTCACACTTGGTATCCAATTCGTGTGGTAGATTATCATTCCCTGCGTTTGTCTCGTAGATGATTTGAACACTTTAGTGATGTGTTTGATAGAGATTTGTAAATTCAGACGAATATTCCGCATTAGATTCGTACTAATCTGTATCAACCGAGGCCATGCCCATGAATTACAAGCACTAATTTATGCACTCCAGTACACTTTTCCCCTTATCCGCTAAAATTTGGGGAGAGTGCTATTTTTTTTTTGCTGCTAGAAGCTGTATTTAGCATTGCCAGCCCACCCACCCACCCTATTAAAGGTCTTCTCATTATTTATGAACTGAGCCTAATTTGTAGGCTTTGGGTGCTTGGTATGGATTCTAGCATGTTACCCATCTTGGTTTCCATGTGCAGCTCCTTATTTGTGTCCCGATAACCATGTTTCGTATTCCAGGGTTGTTGGCTGTATTTATGGTTGTGATCAGTGATGAACCGGTTCGAATTTGTAAGCTTCTGGTAGCTGGTAATGGAGTATAATAGGTTCCTCATCTTGGTTTGCATGTGCAGTTGGCTGTCTATTTCCTTCCAACCAACCACGTTCCATATTCAAGAGTTGTTTTGTTGTCAACATTGCTGATGGGGTCCAGGATTTATCCGTTACTATATGCTAAAATGATTCTCTTCTTGTGAGATATGCAGATATCTATATGTATGCATCGACATTGACCTGAAGAACCATTTGTGTTATTGTTATTTGCTTAGCACTTTATGTGGGAAACTTTGATTAGTTAGTAAATCACATCTTGTTGGGCAATGTGTTAGTAAATCACATCTTTTTGGTCAATACACATTGACGGTGATACATATTTCACAACTTCCTTTTGCTCTTTTATGATAATTGTTTTGTTTGTAAATGACTATCACAACTTCCTTTTGCTCTTTTATGATAATTGTTTTGTTTGTAAATGACTATCACATTTCTTTTGCTCTTTTATGATCAAATTGTTTTGTTTGTTTATGACTGCTCACTTATTTTGTTTGAATTCATTATGCGATGCAGCGTCACTTGCATTCTGAGGTGGGCATCCTACAAGCAGACACCAGTTTGCCCCCAATGCAAGCACCCGTTTGAGTTCCTCAGTGTGCATCGCTCTCTTGATAGCTGGTAACCCCTTTGTTATTTCTTTAGTATATGTGGCAGGCACAGTTATTTCAGGTAGACTTTTGGCTTGATGCTTGTTTCTTTTCTTCAGCCTTCATGACTACATGTTCGATGAGAGCGTCTGTCTTCTTCTGAGAGCCACTTGGTTTAAGCCTCTGGCTGTAGAGGCTCACGAGGAGGCTCAGGAGGAAGAAGACATTTACCGCAGTTACCAATATGACTATGGCGATGAGGATGACCTTTATGAGGAATACATAAGCAGGTCACCGAGCATTCGAATTGGTAACAGGAGGTGGGGTGACAATGGGTACGTCAGAGGGGGGCGGAGGGAGGCCAGGCCAGTAGTGATCCCTCCTGTTGTTGATGCTGTTCCATCCAGGACTCCCAAGAAGAAAGAGGGATCAGCATCAGGTTCAGGATCAGGTTCAGTGTCCAAGGATGTCGCAGGACGGCGGGCTAGAAGGGCTCAGAAGCGGGAGGCTGCTGACAAGGCGGCTGCAGAGAAGCACCTCAAGCTCCTGCAGAGGCTGGGCCGCGGGAAAACTCCCGAAGCGCCACCTGAAGCACCACCGGAATCACTGGAGGTTGGTCCTCCAGCGCCACTCGAGGTTGGTCCTCCTGTGATCGGGTGATCCATCAACCTCTGTAGATAACGGTGCTGCGGGGAATGCTGCAGCCCCTGGGAGCCCCTCCAATAATTCTCCCGGTGCGAAGAAGAGGAAACCGGGCCTTGTATCCTGGCAACTTTGTCGCGTTGTACACTAATTTTAGCTTCGAGTCACTCGTTAGGTCGGTCATCGGAGCTGCTACCCAGTCTGCTCCAGATGCAGCGATGTGGTCGGTCGGTCGGTTTATCCCACACTGATAGTTGTTTAATTCAAGTCATGTACTCGTGTCGTATTAGGGGGGGCACAAAAATTGCTTGCTGTGCTAATTTTCCTGGCAATGTGGCAATTCTGGTAGGTTGTTTACATCCATCAACCCAAAATGAAAATGAAATGGGGGAACGGAGTCTTACTGTGAATATACTTTGCTTACTGATGACTTGTGATGGTGTTGAGAGTGCTCGGTCCCTAGTTTGCACATTTTTGAATGGTCCGTGTGGTAACGACGGACGGTGGTTGTCGTTATCGTCTCTGGATGGTTTTCGTTGGTGTGCAAGTTTATTTGAAGTGCGGCCTATTCGAAGTACCCTTTTTCTGTAGAGAACTTCAGTGACCTTTATTAATAGTGACGTTCAACGGGATATTGATACTGTCATCCAATGGCGGCCGACGGTTAGAGAGAGAAAATTTGGCTAGGCTATGTGTTTAATGGTCAATGTTCCTACATTCATGGAGAGACAGGAATTGGTCTCTCTGACTATCGCCTGATTTTCCTTCACTACAATCGAAGAGTCCGATCTAGGTTGCTTAGCCTACTATTCCTCATTGCAACAAGAATATTGTTTTACTCATTTGCAACAAGACTATTGTTTTAAAAAATAACGGTGACTACTGCAACAGAAGCCTTGTTTCAGAAACACATCGGTGACTACTGCAACAAGAGCTTTAACTCAAAATCATTGCCGGCGTTGCAAAGCATCTCTGCGTGTGATCCCTTTTTTTGCAGAAAGAACTTTGTTCAGAAACATCGTTGACTATTGCAACAAGGGCTGTGTTTTAGAAACATTGATGACATTACATAGCCTCTAAACACGCAGCGCAGGGCTGGGACGTATCCAGCAGGGAGGGCTCCCCTGACACCGACACCGTCGAGGGAGAGGTCGTGCGCTGGCCACGCGCCGCTGGAGCGACAACCGGGCCGCGCGGATCTCAAAGAGTGTTTCCCTAATTTTATTCAAACATCAGAAAAATTACCAAACAATACTTGAGATCGTAGCCGCAAGAAACTACAAAATAACTCTTATAACTAACAATTACGGTAAAATTTCTCAGAATCATCTTTTTCATCGTACAAATATTTGCAACATGAAATATGTCCAAGGGTTCCGTAAAAGAGATTGCATTGCAACATGAAATATGTCCAAGGGTTCTGTAAAAGAGATTGCAATCAGATCAGAGCAACGACACTACCGCTCATATACCTACATGAATTTGACTATCTTTATAGGTTTCAGAAACCCTCTTAAGTCGCCCATCGGGAAGGATGGGAAACAGAAAACGGTGAACATACCTAGGTCGGGGACAAGTACAAGTTGTTGAACCATAAGAGTTTCAGTAGAGCACTAAAGAGTCACAATGGATCTAATCAACAAAGCGACAAAAAACACTAACATAAAATCATCAGATGAGCGAATATGCAAGGATGTAGACCTAAATCCGCAAGGGCGGAGACAGACACATCAAACCTGCAGAGACACAAACACAAGCTTTCTGGCTGGCGCCGTCTGATAGGAGTTCACCACAACCGGAGAAGAACCAAATTACCTTTATATTTGACGACATCACACCATGTGCTCAGATATTGCCTATGGAGACCAAAAAGACCATGCTAGTAAACTTTGAAATGCATACCACGATGCAAGCCACCCCCTCTCACCTCGCAGCACGACGACTGGAGGTGAGCGGAATCAATGAAATCCGTGACGACTGGCCTATGGAACCGTAACATTTCATCACTTTGTCCTCTGCTTTGTGACAGACCGGAGTACTCGACGAACTAGCAAATCATTGGCTAGACCTTTAGCTTTTTGGCATGCTAGGGCCTCCAGATTGGGCGTGGGTGGTTATCTCGTCGAAAGTTACCGCCGAGGAGCCCAGGAAGAGCCAGATGTGGTCTCAGAAGATAACCCCGACTACACAATTTGACCCATTTCCTTGATACTGCTCCATCACGCACGTGATAGATCTTGCTTGCCGCCAGATATATCCCGGTCTTGCCTTTTGTGCTTCGTGTGTGCTCGCATCAGTGGGCCCATCCATTAAAATGGTTTTGGGAAGGTTCTATACGCTAATAAAGACCGATTTTAGCAAAAGTGCTCTTTTGATCCCGAGCTCATATGCTCTCGCATGAACAGTAAGATTCAAAAAAATAGTAAAAGATTAAAAAATATATGAATATTTTTTGTGATGAACATTGATGAATGTTCTAACCGCGTGCAAAATTTTAGGTCGAAACGACATTCATGGTGGTCTGGGAAAAACATAACAAAATAGATGCTCCAGAATACTTCCAACAATATTGTTTTTGGACCATCGATTTTATCTTTTTTGACCAGACCTCCACGGATGTCATTTCAACCCAAAATTTTGCACGCAGTTAGAAAATTCATCAATGTTCATCACAAAAAAATCAGAATTTTTTGAAATTTTTACTATTTTCTGAATTTTACTGTTCATGTGGGAGCATGTGAGCTCGAGATCAAATACTCCATGTCCCGATTTTAGAACCTTAAGTACATATTTTCTTTCTTCTTCTCTTTGTCTTTTTTAGTCTTTGTTGGTTTTCACCGCTTTTATTTTATTCTTTATAGTTCTTTTTATTTTCATTTTGAACTACTTTGTCGTATTTTTTCAAATACACAATAATTTTTTTCGTATACATTTCGAACATTTTTCATAAACAAGTTGAACATTTTTCTGAATTACATCTTGAACATTTATCAAACACACATTGAACATTTTCTGATATACAGCGAACATTTTTCTAGAAAACATGCAAAAGATTCATTATGTGTTAGCAAATTTTATTTAAATGGAATTAACATTTTTAAATGGCAAGAATCATTTTTTGAAAGTTTGCAGTTTTTTATATGCTGTACATATTGTTTTAAAGTCATAAAAATATTTTTCAAACACGTGAACATTTTTGTAAGCTTCATGAACAGTATTTAGTATAGTGCAAAACATTTTATTAAAATTATAAAATTTCTATTCACGCTATAAACAGTTTAAATAAAGAAAATGAACATAGATTTGAAATGCATGAACAATTTTTAAATGTCATGAAGAATTATTTTGAATGTTATGCACATTTTTAAAAATTGCACAAACAAATTCTTACACAAAATGAATTTTTTAAATGCATGACAATGTCCTTTAAGAATTTAAGTTAAATATTTATTCTATATACGCATTTCAAAATATAAGTGTAAGTATGAAAATAATAATAATAATAAAACCTTACATATGACAGGAGCCTGCGGAGTGATAGCTCGAGATGATTGAGGTAATTTTTTGGCAACAATGTCTTGTGTGCTACCCCATGTTTCTACTGCAGATTCGGAGGAAGTTATGCTATCCAAAGTGGTTTGATCCTGGCAGAAAAATTGGGGGGCAGTAAACTCATCATCGAGTCTGACAGTATAGTGGCGTTGGAGGCCATCTTCGATCGAAATGCTTATATGAGAACTAATGTTTCAATCATTTGTAGAGTGTTCTCTCACAGCCATGGAATTTGCTAGCATTGATTTTGTCCACCGCGACAGAGAAGCAAATATGGTAGCAGATTACTTGGCAAAACACTGTTTTAGCATTAGTAAATCTGCATCTTGGAAATCCGATGTGCCTGACTTTATTCTTGATCATCATGTAAATGCCCTTGCTATTGTTTGATGAATAAACTTGTTGATCAAAAACAAGAAAAAAAAAAGAGAAAAGGCTTACACCTAACGTTGAAAAGAAAGGAAAAACAGCCTAAAAAAAGGAAAAAGGCTTGAAGAAACGAACGTGCAATTGATGACGCAAGTCTCGAGGATTTGTGCTGGGGGTGCCAACACCCTGCGGGCGACAAAGTCTTTGTGTGCCAGACAGAGCCGCTCCGCAAAATCACTAATTAAGGCGCACTCTTAGCAAAGGTCACTCCCACCTTTTCGAAATATTTTATCTCTTAAATCGTACGTCCAAATCTCGAACAGTTTTAGCCGCCAGTTTCCTCGCGTCGAGATCTTCAAAAATAGGTCACATGTTGATAGGTTTGACGAATTTTTTTTCCATAAAAAACGGACGAAAAAAGGAACCAGGAGCACTGTTTTTCCCGGAAGAGGCATGACTGTGCGACTAGCGGAAGTAAATCCGTGTCTCCACGAAAAGTAAACTTCTCACAGAAGAAAAAAAAGGAAAACACTTCCGTTTTTTGAGGCACGACTGTGCCTCTCGTGGAAGGAAAACACGTTATTTTTTTGTATCTGAGTGGCACAACCATGCCTCCACGGAAGGAAAAAAAATGCCTTTTCCCTTTTCCGGGGCAAAAATGTTTTTTTCATGAATTGTTTTTGAATTTTTTATACGAAATTAAAGAAAGATCGGTGAAAAACCGAAAAGCCAAAAAACCCCGGAAAAACCATAAAAAAAGCAGAAAACGCGTGCAAAAACATAAAAATCAAAAACAAAAATCAGAAGGCGCGCCAAGAGCAGGACACGTGGCAGCAGCCCTCTTAGCCCTCCCAGGTGACCCTTGCGGGGGCTCCCAAAGGAGTACTCCGTCGTTAGTTGCTCCCCGTGCTCCGGCGGGAGCTCCTATTGGGTACCTTCTGTGCGAGTTAACTAACCTAGCGCTAACGCCCGGAGCTGGTGCATGATTGACTCTTGACTAAGGCCTGCTGAACATTGACTTTTCACACAGAAGTTCACAAAGAAAAGCAGGGATTCAAAAAATCATTAAAAAAACAAAACGGTTCACAAACCCAAAT